CCCCCCCCCCCCCTCCCGAACGGGAAATCGAGAGAGAAACAGGGGAGACAATTGGATACGACAAGCTTGCAGTTATGGAAAAAGTAGCTGCAAGTTTGTTCGAGTATATCATTGAGGAGAGCCATAAACTTAAACAGTTGAATATATTCAGGGTATACTCAATAAGGTGCCTTTCAAAATGGGATTCCCTTGTAAGTTCGTAAGCCTTATCCTCCAATTAAGGTGTTGTGATAATGATTTTTGGATGCCTTGAATTATCTTTTGCCAAAGCACCCACGTCGCTATTACCGACGGAGAGGGGCAATCGAACAAGAATATGTCGAACTTGCTAAACCAAATCCTGACATGATAGGGGCATTTCAAAAGCAAGACAGCCTCTGTAGGTGTCCTGTAATTTGGTTGCATTGCATTATAGTTTTCTTTTCATTTATTCCCTTCAGCCAGGGCCTCCCTCTTCTTTCCCTTAAAAATGACACATTTCATTTGCTTTTCTGCATTAGCATTTGTAGGCATCATGTTTCTCTAAGAATTTGTTTCCCCTGAAAACAAAACAGGAAGATTTGCAGGAGAATGAACACAGGATCCATGATTTTGAGTATAAATCAATGAAATATGCTTCATCTTTAGTAAAGCCAAAAAGTGTTCATAAGATCTTTGGATTGGAACAATATCACTGAACTGCACAACAGCATAAGGTTCAAAACATGAGTTAGGCCACTCTCTCTCTCTCTCTCTCTCTCTCTCTCTTATTTGTTTTTTTTATACTTCAAGTAGAAAAAAACATTGGTTGCTCTTTTAGAAGGGAATTTTGTTGCCAAATGTGGCAAATGCTTGGAGATCTACTGAATAATAACAAGCTTCGAGCTTGTTTGTCATTATTATCTTGGATGTTTATGAAATACTAAAGTTTTGCTTTGTTTTGAGTTAAATTAGAACCTTGGTTCATTAGGTCTTTACTTAGTTTTAGATGGTAGAATGTTTCTGTTACGTCTTTGAAACGTTTAGCTCGAGTTTGGCTCAATTTTAGCCGTGTTTTTCTTTCACACTTTGACGAAGGAAGAATACTTGGTTTCTGATGATAGAATGTTTCTATTATGTCTTTGCAACATTTAGCTCGAGTTTAGCTCAATTTTAGCTGTGTTTTTCTTTCACACATTGACGAAGGAAGAATACTTGGTTTTTGATGGTAGAATGTTTCTATTACATCTTTGAAACATTTAGCTCGAGTTTTATTCAATTTTTAGCCGTGTTTGACGAATGAAAAATACTTAGTTTTAGATTGTGAATGTTTCTACGACTCAATTTTTAGTTGCGTTTTGACGAAGGAAGAATACTTAGTTTCGGATGGTAGAATGTTTCTATTACGTCTTTGAAACATTTAGATCGAGTTTGGCTCAATTTTTAGCAGCATTTTTCCTTCACACTTGACGAAGGAAGCTTCGTTGTTCGTTGAATGTCATAGTCTCAACGTTGAAGATGAAGGAAGCCTCATCGTCTAACAAACCTTCGTTTGCCTAGTCGATATATTTGATACGTTATTATTGTTTGAACCTCAACGGTCATGAAAAATATAATTACAAATATGTAAATTCACAAATAGTTTTGACTTCAATTAGCTAATCTATTTTAATTAGCTTTAGAAATTGAAAATTTTAGTCATCAAAATGAACTATTCAATTAATTAACCTCGCATGATTCAAATATCTAATTACTATATTATATAAAAGTAATAAGTACAGATCTTGATCTTGAACTACTGTCATTTTATTAAATAAAAATTTATACGATTAACTTGAATATTTATTCATTTGAGTTCGATATTTGTGTTTTAATTCTTTTAATTATTGTATTTAACTTAAATTTTATTTGATTGGATTCAATATCATATTTATTTTCAAACCCGATTTAGAATTATATAAATATTCTCGATCAAATCATATCTTACAAAAATGGTAAAATTATATCACAAAAGTTTGTCAAATCGAGACAAGCTTCTCTTTAAATTTGTTCATTATAAGTAGCATATAAATGCATAAAGAATTAGAACTTATGTGACAATTGATCAACATTGCTTAAGAATTTAACCAAACTTTTTCATATCTTGGCTAATCAACCCGACTCTACAAAAACAAAATCTTATCTTCCTTTTAAATAACAATAATACTCGGATAGGTGTCGCCTTCTCACTCGCGAACCGAGACTATGGAAATTCCATTCCATTTCAAAGATAAGATTTTAATTACCAAATGGTTCAAATATGAAGATTATTACGAGCTAAATAACAGTTATTATAGTTAAAAAAAACAACAGTATTTTGTTAAATCAACCGATCGGTTTCAAAGTAAAATTTCTCAGACTTTTACTATTTACCCTAATGCTGACGCAGCTCAACTAGGTAAAACATTAAACACGTTTCTTTCGTGAATAGTTTGGGCCGTGTAAAGTTGATTGGTTAAAAAAAATTAATCATATTTATTAAAACATAAGTTGTCCACGTGTCATAAGGAGATGAAAAGCACGTTTAAACCAATTTAGAATGGCCCACCGCGACCATCGCGTTGACCACTCGTGGAATGCCCGGCTGACTGTACCGTCCAGACAGCCCCAAGATTTATATATAAAATAAAACAAAATTGTCCCATAAAAATAACTAACTCTGTCTCCAGAAATAACAACTTTCCCTCTCCTCCCTCTCTCTTTCTCTCTCTAGAAAAATAATTATTTTTCCAGAAAAAAAAAAAAAAAAAAAAAAA